AAATGGTTCAAATCCACCAGCTGCTTCTTTGGAGAAAGATGACTAATCCCCTCCTATGAGATTTACTGCCTCTGAAAATCCATTAGAGAGTCACCTACGGAACAGTTCCAATTCAGCAACACCTAACAACAGCACAAGACAACTCAGCTCTAGAAGCGAGCTCTAGTAATCAAGTCCATTGGGGGCTGCACTGCCAACACAAAGGGGACTCCTCTCTGGCAACTTAAATCCCCCAGTGGTTCCATGGGAAAATGGACAGTCAGCCTCTGCAATTTACACCCTCTGAAAACCTTCTGGAGGCTCAGCTAGCAGTCAGTTCTGACTTGCAGGCAAATGCTCTTTAGACGTTGAGTGGATCTAAAATGACAACTCAAAATAATTCCTGATTAACTCTTTCACCAGCAGGTCTGGTTGCACAGGGTAAATATTACTTCCCATTGGAAACATAGAAGTTCAATAAAAGAGAGGCAGACCTTTAACAAGATGGATTGGCAGAGTGGCTGCAAAAATGAGTCTGAGGATGGCTGGGAGCTTAAGGACGGCACAGAGAGGCAAGGCTCCAATACTTTTCTATGGAGTAGCTTGGAGTCATAGTTGACCTGGCAGCACCTAACAATGGCCATTCTCAGCAAACGATTCCCTTACTGTCCTGATAATGGACGAGGTGCCTGGCTGAAGTAGGAATCTACCAACAAGTATTGTGTACCTTTTCACCAAGACTTCCTACATCTTCACCTATATTTCCTGAAATTCTTCCTCTTTGTTCATTATAATAACAATCTTTTAGTCTCAAAATTTGCCAGCACTTCTCTGTTTCATTGTTTCGCATGTGCTGTATACTGTTCGGAAGAATCTTTCTGTCTACCCTTTCCCCTTCTGGTTTCACTAAATATTACCTTCCATGAACACCAAAGCCTATTACATTGTTTTCCTACATAGTTCCCTGACCATTTTCTCTGGATAATTTCTTGGTCACAGTTGCACCCATTTTATTGATTTAGTTGCTTATTCTATTCCCCTCCTCCTTATTCTTTTGGTCTTTTTCTCACGTTGGATCTAAGTTTATGAGAGCAGGATGATGCCCATTTAACAACACTTTATTACATAGGGAATTAAAAAAAATATTAGCACAATGAATGGAGAGGTCATATATGGGCATTGCTCTGGTGGTGTAGTGCATTGTATTGGACTGCTAGCTAAAAGGTATATGGTTCAAATCAACCAGCAGCTCTAAGGAGGAAAGATGAGGCCTCACCTCTCTTAAAGCTTTACAGTCTTGAAAGGTTGATGGAGGACTGCCAGGAGTCAGCTTCGACTTGCCGACAGTGGGATCAGGGTTTTCTTCCCCTACAGGTACAGATCTTTAAGGGGACAGCAGTGACTGAATGGTAAGGAGTTGCACTGCTATTTCTTTTTTTTTTTAATTATTATTATTTTTTGTGTGTGCACTGTCAAATCAGATCTGACTGCTACAGGAGGCCATTATTCCTCCTTCTTCAGCAGAGCATCTAGTGGATTTGAACAGCGCACTTCTGGGATTGCAGTGCAGCTTCTTGCCACTAGGCCACCAGAGCTCGCCTGCGCTACTATTTCTAAAACAGACAGTTCAAATCCACCAGTTGTTTTGCAGGAGAAAAATGGACAATCTTCTGTGGAGTTTACCGCCTCTGAAAACCCACTGGCGGGTCAGCTATGAGTCAGTTCTGACTCAACAGCACATCAAAACAACCAGGAAATCAGCACCATAGCTCTTTAGGAGATCAAACCACTTCTGACTTTACAAAGTACCACCTGTCAGGCTAGTCAACAAACCTATTGCCTCTCATCAGTCCTTTGTCAAGCAAACTCTCTCTCCTGAGACACAATAAGTAACAGAGATTGACCAATAAATAAATGACACTTTTACCCTCTGAGTAAAGGAAGAAAGCCATCTTTGATTTAACATTCAGATCTTCTTAGATTCAGGTGACTATCACTATTAGGAGTGAATGCCCGAGATTGTAAACAGCTAAGTGCTTGTCTACTAATTACCAGAAAGTTTTGAAATGATCCCACAGCAATATGTAAGAAAGGCCAGGCAATCATCCTCCATAAGGTCACAACCTTAACAACCCTATGGGGGCCAATTATACTCTGCCCCAGCAGGTTACCGTAGGTCTGAATTGACTGGTCAGCCACTTACTACTGGTTTCTTTGATTAACTGTGACCAGCCATCTTACTGTCCTCTTTTATTATGCCTTCTCCTTACGACAAACGTTACATCACTTCACTCGTTAAAAAGAAACACAAGATTAATTTATTTGACTCTCCCACAGGCTCCCATTGTTTCTTGTCATCCAAAGTTTGCCAATGAATGCATCCTTAGTCCATGTCTTTTACTGCCAGTGTCATTGCCAAAGATCTCTGTCTTCCTACACTTTTCCAGGATTCTGGTGACTTTTGCATAAATAAAATAAACAAGTGCATACATGTTTACTGTGAGTGCCCTAATGTGGCTGGAAGCTGCTTTTCTGAATCTTACCAGTTCTCATCAGTAGAATTCTATTTCCTAAATCACTGTGGATACTTGAAAGGCTCTTAAGGGCTCTTTAAGGTGATGGAAGAGTGCCTTGAAGAAGGTCATAGAAAAGGAGGGGCAAAGTTAAAACACTGAAGCCATAAAATGTGGTTTGTTTTGTCTTTTAGAAAGAGTCTTCTGAGTAAACAATGAATTACTTGATATCAGGATGACTTTTGTCATATAATTTTTTACTAGTTGCCCTAAGAAAGAAATTAATGCTAAGAGAAACAAAATGTGTAATACCTCCTGCTTGTTAAGCAGCTCATTGTCTCTCTCATTTTGATTATGTTGGCATTTATGCCTTTTGCATACAGTTGACAAAGCAGCATTAAGTGCATATCTATGCAGATTTATCAAGCCATACCTTAGAGTTCTCTGGCACGAACGGGATGAATACAGTCTGTTGTGCCTCCAGTTTGACTTTATAAACACAACCCAGCTGTAGTCGTCTCCCCAAACTGAAAAATGAAGACTAGTTTTTCTCCATTAAGCTTTTGCTAAGATTTCTGTAAGCCGATGCTCATGTTACAGTTAAAAATCAGCTGTACAGCTTTCTCTTTGTTTAGCTATTAGTCCCCTAGGTATATGTCTGTAATCAAAGGGAGGTCAACTGTGTCGAAATAAAAGTATGCCAGAATGTCTCTGGCATAAATCTTTCCCTTAAGATGTCAGCCATGTTACTTTAGGAAAGGGAGAAAAAAGTACTCTTCTATCTAAAAATCTAAGAACTTAATTCATTTAAGAAAGAAGAAAAAAAAAAACCCACGTAAAACTCAGAGCTATCCTGAGAGAGTTCTTCAAGCATAAGTTCTCCATGTTAACCATTATGTGTTTGTGTTTATCTAAATGTAAGCACTTGAACAATCCCAGATAAAATATCGCTGCCCAGGAACTACAAGTAGTCCTCAATTTGCAGTGGGGCTCCAATCCAACCACCACAACATAATTTGGTTTAGACGTTAAGTCAATACCTCTTTTTTTGTTCTAGATTTAATTAGTATTCCCTTTTGTTGTGCGTTTCTTAATAAATCTTATCTTTGTCTTTGGAGGTTAGAAAAGCTACATATAAACTTATAGGTATATTTTAATGTATTGCTGTGGCTTTAAGTGCCATTGTAACAACCGTATGAATAACACAGCTGGACCTTTACCCTCTGGTGCGGTCTTTGCTGTATCTGATACTCGAGTCCACTGTTACAGTTGCCCTGTCAATTCATCTTGCTGAAGGTCTTCCTCTCTCTTTGACCCTCCACATTTCCCGGTGTGATGCTTTTTTCCCAAGGGCTGACCCCTCCTGACAATATGCTTAACGTGTATATAAATAATAGATCACTCAAAGGTACTCCGTTGATGAAGAGCTGGACAAGCCTGACATTTTGTCAGTTGTAGTAATAATTCCACTTGTTGGAAGTTCTGGATAATCTGGATTCTTTCTGAGGATGATGCTGATGTTTCTACTCAGATAACTAGTGAGAGCTGACTGTAAACGCCTTTTCCTTTTTCTTTGTAAGTCTGTGGCAATATTTCATAGTTCCCAACTCTGCCTATTGACCTTAGCAACACAGTCAGATTTTGATCTATGATTTTATGAAACTGAAGCCTCTGATTTAGCTTAGAAATGGAATTAATATGGCAGTGGGTTGTGTTTTGAATAGTAAATCATAAAACTGAACACCTGAGAATGACAACTGAGAATGATGAGCTTAACAAAGTATCTGTGTGTAGTACATCTTACTAACAAGATATATAAACTCTATCCCCAAAATGTATGATTCCAACATCTGTACACTTTGTCTTAACTCAAATCACAGGTACCACCTGTATACGGGCACGATTAATGAGTGCTTCTCATATTGCTATAAAGGCCATGGAGTACATACAAAGTAGAGGTGCATATGTATGTTATTCTGATTCCTCAGTGTCCATTTAATGTCAGAATAAACTTCAGAGCAATCTTGGCAAAATTATAAAGCAAACAGAAGACATTTCTTGATTTTTATTTCAATTGGCTGTGCTTCTAGACATCTTAACTAATCATTAATTGTTCTCTTTCCAAAAAAAAGTTTAAAACGAAAACAAGAATGCCTATTTATCATATCCTCTTCTACCTGACGTATGAATGAAGCCAAGCTTGACTTAGATCTCTGAAAGCCCAGAGTCTGCCCGTTATCACAATGGAAACAAGCCCTCCCATAGTCATACAGAAGACTGGTCTATATAAGGGCATGCATTCCTCTCTGACTGTTAATATACTATCTAATTCACTTGCCATTTAAAAATATTCCATTCCAGAGCAGTTATTTATTGAATGCCTCCATTATGCAAATAGCTATAATAAATAAGGAAGATTTCGCCTTTAGTTAATGCATCTATTTCCAAATGTTTTGTTTACTTATCATTGTTTTTTCTTCTCTCTTTGATTTGTAACTAATATTTCAGGCTGGTGGTTTGATGCTTGTGGCCCTTCCAATCTAAATGGAATGTTCTATAGGGCTGGACAAAACCATGGAAAACTGAATGGGATTAAGTGGCACTACTTCACAGGGCCCAGCTATTCCTTACGTTCCACAACAATGATGATCCGGCCATTGGACTTCTGAAAGCATAATGCCAGAAGCAACTGGGAAAACAACTGAAAAAAAAACATTTTTTTTGAAAGCTACCAGATGAGAAACGTCTAGAAAATGCCTGAAGTAAACAGCATGGTCTCCCTTCCAGCAGCAAGCGGTGGTGGTGTGAAATCATCAAGGTCCTTGACTGTGGATTTTGGGGCCTTTTGAGTCACAGACATCTATAAGTGGGGTCACTCTGAGTGGCATGAAGGCAGAGCACGCCACTCCCTGGGAAGCTTTGAAAAGGGACGAAACTGCTCAGCTCACTGTTCTTCAAACTACTACTGGATTTTAATGTTGGAACTTTGGTATCCAGACAATAAATATGATATATTTTGTGCAAAACTGAAGAAAGAGAAAAAGGAGGAGGGGAATAAAGGATATAAATGAAAAATAAAAACAGACCTTTTTTAATAGTTGGGAAAATGATGCGTTGCATCAGGGAAATTATGTTATTTCTATGCAAATTTACTAACTTATACCATTGCACAATTTTAATAAAAATCGAGGACAAATGCCAACGGTTCGGGATTGGTTAAATATTAATGGGTTAGAGAAACCCAATGCCAATATCACATTCAAATATTGATTGCAGTTAGTCCCTCTTCGCATTTTATTCCATTTTGGTAGAGCATAATGAATCGCAGCACATGAAGAATATCCGTGCCTGGTAAAAACATACGCAATTATTTTTACCTTAGCATATTTTCTTATTGTTTTTAAAAAGGACTTACATAAGGATATCAGAGAAAAAGAAAATTACTTACTGCCTCCTTGCTGCAGTTTTCATTTATTGTGAAAACTGAGTGATTGATATATAAATATATTTATAGCCTAAGGAAAGTTTAAAGAATGTGAAATATATCATTAAGGGTTTTTATTAATATACATACATTTACTATGTCCTTTGGTACTATACAGGAAAGCAGTATTTTTTGAGTGTATTAAATTGAAACAAGAGTTTAGCAAACTGGAACAGTTCATTTTGCAGTATTGTCTTGTATGGGCTCACGTAAGTATAACTTCATGATTTTAAAAATGGTTTTAGACCCTCCATGCTTCACTGTTTTTTATGATAATTTAATTTTGTTAATTGACAAAAATATGCTTACTAGATCCACCCTGTTCCAGTTTCTAGGTAAAAAATACACTTTGAAGTCTATGAAAAATAAAATAATTATGAATAGCTTTGTACATAGCATGTTTATATTCATAGCAAATCTAGCAGCTCATTGAAACACAATATTAGCTTTAATTGTTGCAAATAAATAACATTTTCAAAGAAATTTATTTCTTTACAAAATACATTATTTTTTGTTTTCTCCTTTGGGTTTAGTTTCTGATTTATTAAAAAAAATTTGGCAAAACCACTATATTAGTACAGAGCTCTGGTGGCCTAGGTGGCAAGAAACTGCATTGCAATCCTAAAGACAAGCAGTTCAAGACCACCAGCTACTCATGGAAGAGAAAGGACAATCTCCTCCCATGTAATTAACTGACTCTAAAAACCCACTGGAGGGTCAGCTAAGGGTCAGTTCTGACTCTATGGTTCACAACACCACCAGCAGCATACTAGTATTTTTTTGTAAGAGAAACAAAAGAAAAACCAAACATAATCACACAATTTATTGGTAAAATTTTGGGTGCTAGCTACGATAAATCTCTTCATGAATATATTCCTATGGGATAAACCATTTTGAGTGACTATTTGGACACATATTTTCATGGCTATTTGAAGCTACTGCAATGTATGTTTGAGTAGTACTCTATGTCTACATTCTGGAGTTAAAATAAAAAACAGAACTCCTGGCCATTAGGTCAGAACGGACTCATAGCTGACCCTACAGAGGGTTACAGAAATTGTAAATCACACAAGAGGAGAATGTTCGTCTTTCTCCTGTGGAGCAGCAGGGGAATTTAACTGCTTGCCTTTGGATGACAGCGCATCTCCTTACCCATTAGGCACCCAGAACTTAATATTGTACTACTGAAGTTATAATAGTGAAGTTTTACTCAAATATGGGCTATTATGGAAGAATATATATGTATAATCTTCTTAAAGAAAGGAGAAGGAGATTTTCTTCAAGGCAACAATACTAACATTATACCTAGCAATCTGGCCTACTTGTGCCTTAGTAACTTGCTTTTCCTTAAGAAAATAGCACACACCCATCACTGTCAAGTTGATTCTGACTATCCACATAAGTCAGATTTTCTGAGTCTGTAAATCTTAGCGTGAGGAGACTTCTCATCATTCTCAAGTGGAGCAGCTATTGGATTTAAACCTCTGATCTTCTTTTGATCAGTCAAGCACATAACACGCCACACCAGTGGAATTCCTATCAGAAAAGAAAATTACTCAAAATGTTAAGAAAATGCGGTTTATTTAATGTTTACCATAATGTTTTTATATTTTTTTTGTACCTTTATACAGCCCCCTTTTTTAGGTATTACTCATTTTTTTCTGTTCTTGGTGGCGCATTCATAACCTCTGCTTCTAAAAACTGATTGTTTTCATTTAAATAAAAGTTAATGTTTTGTTCTTCTGTGTTCCTTTAAGAATTTTTATTTTTACCAGTTTGAATAAGGCAAACTAATTTCCAACTTATATTAAAAAAATTAAGTGATTTTTTTTCTTTTAAAAAAAGAGCATGGTGTTTACTGTTTTCTTATCTGGGGTTGGAAGATGAAATGATGTTTTCAATTATTTATAATAAAGCAGTATAAAATGTTTTGTGACTTCATTACGTGCATTGTGTAATCCTGTTTGTGGCACTTTGACGTCTCTTCCATTTCATAATTTGAGGAGAAGGTAATTAGATATAGAAATTTTGTCTTACATTTTTATTTCCAAAAAAGTTCATATATTTGCTATGCAAATATCTCATATCAATTGCAACATTATTTTTCTTTAAAAATTAAGATGTTTATACAACTCCATATTATTTTAAATAAATTTTTACAAAATGTATAATTAGAATCTATGGAAATGTGCAGTCAGAACAAGAACACTTACATCCCCGTTAAGTAGATCCGAGAAGTAAGTTTGAGTCTCTTCTCTATGTTTTTCTCTCCTGCCACTTTTTTAAGTGCTATATCATGTACAATAAACTCTACAAACTCCAAATGTAGAACTGGAGAATGTGTGTTTAATTCCTGAGCTTGGCATGAAGGGAAATTACAGGAGATACCCATCCTTGCCCACAACGTCAAATCCCATCTTCATAGATATGCTCCCATTGGCAACATATTAATCCAAACCTGCAGTGACATCCACCAAGATGACCGGATCATCAGAAAGGTACTCTTTCTCCTGCCTCTCTCTGCCTTTACTATCTCAGAAACCTGGCCCGCTTATTATACCAAAAGACAAAGTTCTAAGAATATTTCTTGAATGTTCACGTCATTCAGTGTTTCCCACTACTTGCTAAATGTGAAAATAGGTCTGCAACCCCACCAAGCTCCATTCCACCTGCTCAGTGCTCCAAAGAAGATGGAAACACATTTATAGTGGAATTATTGCATAAAAGAGTCTTGCCCTTTTTTTATCCATCCACTGATTTTACAATTTCTTCCATTAAAAAAATCCCTACCCCATTCTTGTGGGCTCACAGTCAGGCCCTATAGGACCCACAGAAATCCTACAGGACAGAGGGTTTTCCTACCCCAAAGGGTTTTCAAAACTGAAAATCTTGAAGGGATCAGACTGCCACAATTTCCTGCCGTTGAGGAGTTGGGTTCAAACTATGAATTTTTCAATTAATCAAAAATCACTTAATCACACTAAGCCAAAAGATTGCCTTTCTCATAAAAATTCAAAGTCTTTGTTCCCCTTACTATTTATTTTGGTCCACAACCAACACCTATGGTATCAGCAATAATGAGATCAGGAGACAAATTGTGTAAGTCTGCAGTCAGAAACCTCTCCAAAATACTGAGAAGTAATGACGTTAACAATTTGAAGACTACAATATACTTGATTCAGATCATGAATTTTTACATAACTTGTTACGCGTTAGAGTGAATGAATGAATAAAGATGACAGAAGAATTGATGCCTTTAAGCCATGTTGATGGAGAAGAATACTGGATATCCAGTGGGCTGCCAAAAGAATAGTTATGTCTTGGGAAAAGCTCAACCAGAATGCTTCTTGGAGGCAAGACTGACAAAACTTTGTTTACAAACTTTAGGCATGTTGCTGTTGTTGTACAGTACTATCCAGGGCAACTCATAACCACCCTATAAACAGCCATCCTGAAACCTGCCCTATCCTAGGCCTTCCTAAACTTCTCCAACACAGCAGAGCCATTGCTGAAGTCACAGTGTCAACCCGTCTTCTTAGGGGTCTTTCTCTCCTTTGCTAACCCTTCATCTTTCCAACCGTGATGTCTCTTCCGAAGGAATAGCCTTGTCTAGCTACATGTCCAAAGTAAGAAAAACAAAGCTTCACCATCTTTGCCTTCAAGGGCACTCTGGCTGCACTTTCTCCAAGATCTAGTTGTTCCTTAGGCAATTGGGGGTATGTTCAATACTTTTCTCCAATACCACAACTCACAGACATCAATTCTTTTGTCATCCATACTCATTATCCAGCTCTCTGATGACATAACAGGTGATTGAGAAGGTCATGGCCTAAATCAGGTGCACCTTAGTCTATAAATGGATATCATTGCTCTTCAGCATTTTGGAGAGATCCCTGACAGCAGACTTACCCAATTCAATACATCTCCTGATTTTTCTGACCACTAGTACCAAGAATGAGAAATTATGGGAAGCCAAACATTAAACTTTATATTATATGAAAATCCTTGTTCAGGAATTGAAGGAATTGCAGATTTATAAGTTAGGATTTCTCTTGTGGCAGATCCAAAAAAAGAACCTGTTTGTTCCCTGCAGACAGGAGATAGCTAGGGCCCCCCTACAGAGTGTTACTTCCTGGGAAATACTTCCTGAGCTAGAGTATTAGGCTGACAATAGAGAAAAATAGAGCCTTCATTTACAAGGAATTCCTTTTGTTATTTGCTTCCCCAGATTATCAATAAATACACAGAGAAACATGACTTGGGGTTTTCAGTTTAGAACTGCTGGCCCCCTGTTTTATGCTCTCTGCTCTATCTCACTCCTGGCTGTCTGTCTCATTATTAATAATTATAAAATTATTTTATTCTTTGGGACCCTTGGTCTGCAACAAGAAATCACCTCCCATGTGATTAACTGCCTCTGAAAACCTGCTGGATGGTCAGCTATGAGTCGGTTCCAACTCTATGGTACACAACAACAACAACAACAGTGCCAAGAATGATGATTGTTGATCCAAGCAAGATTAAATCATTGACAGCTTCAATC